GGGGTGGATCTCGAGGCACGGAAGAGGATTCTTACCCGAGGATGGTCTGTCTGAATACCTAGTGCAGTACACCCAGGCAGGCCATACCAGCGGCTGTTGGGAGTCGCTCTTGACCGCGGCCCCTCCATTATTGGAGCCCATGAGCAGGATGGCGGGGTTGGCGCGCTCCCCATACTTCGCCGGGTGAGTTCCGCTCCCTTCCGAGCAGGAGGAGGAGGAGGAGGAAGAGGAGGAGGAGGAAGAGGAGGAGGAGGAGGGGGGCTTGGCCGTCCCTACCGCTGCCGCCGCGGCGGGGCTCGCTTTGGAGGCCGTGGAGGAGCTGTCGGGGATCCCGGGCGACTCGGCGCTAAGGAGAGAGGAGGCCGGGTTGGGGGGCCTGCCGAGCAGAGGGTTGACATTTTCTCTACCTGAGCTGGCCCCGCGATCGAGGGCTCTGTCCCGGCTGCCGCCGCCGCCGCCGCCCCCTCCTCCTCCCCCTCCTCCTCCTCCCGTCGTCCCGGCGAGGATCAAGAGCTGCTCTTTCTTGCAGCCAAAGTCCGGCCTCAGGATGTTGTCGATGAAAAAGTTGGTGGTGCGGTGCTGCTGCGGCGGCGGCGGCGGCGGCGGTGGTGGTGGTGGCGGCTGCTGCTGCTGGGGCTGCTGCTGCTGGGGCGGCGGCGGCGGCCGTGGCTGGGGGGGGGGGGGGGGCTGGGGGGGCTGGGGAGGCGGAGGCGGCTGCGGCTGTTGCGGGTGGTGGTGCTGGTGGTGCTGGTGGGGCGGGTGGTGCTGGTGCGGGTGGTGGTGGTGGTGATGCGGGTGGTGGGGCAGCGAGACCAGGCAAGGCGCGGCCGGGGACAGGGGAGCCGGGCTGGGCGACACGGCCACGCTCTCGCCCTCGCTGCTGCTCCCGCTGCTGCTCCCGCCGCTGGTGCTGCTGGTGGCGTGGCCGGCCGGCGGGGGAGCGGCGTCGCGGAGACTTTTACAGTCCGTCGGCTCTTCCATAGTCAGCCGCCAGCTCCGGAGATCGCCGCCTCGGCTCTCCCCCCCTCCACACCGCACTCCTTGGGGTTGGTTCGTCCGCGCAAAAAAACAACAACAACCACACGCACAAATCTCCAAACGCAAAATCAAATCCACTTGTTGTTGGCTTGCAGCGGGTCCTAGAGAGAGATATCCAAAGACTCAGACATTCGGAGGGAGTCGCGGTTTTGTTTTTGTTTTTGCAGTTATCTTATATTTCCACTCTCTGTCTCTCTCTCTCTCTCTCTCTCACCCCCTTCGTCAACAAAGAACAAAAACCGCCAGTCTGCACGTGCATATTTCCCCCCCGCATACACCTTCTCCCCCCCCCACCTCTCTCCTTTATTTAAATTTTTTAAAAAGCAAAATCTCTGACAGCTCCGATCTTGCAACAAACTCTCCCTAAAAAATCTCTCAGCCACACTTTTTTCATTCCAACCGGAAGCACGTGAGGATGGCCCGCACGTGGAAAGCACCAATGAGCAGCCGAAGAACTCCGTGACGCCCCTGACGTCAGCCAATGGGCAGCCCTGCAACTTTGCAGCGACGTTCGCCCAGGGGCTGGCTCCTTCGGAGGCACCTTTGCGCTTTCCTTTGCGCATCCTTCCCAAGACCCCTTTCCTCCGTCCCCTTCCCCTCCGGTTTAAGCATGTTCGTGTCATTATTTTGTCTTTGTTTAAAAATTACCAGATCAACCAGATTCCCCATCATATTTTTTTTTTCGAACTCAGTAAGACGACAGTGTATGTGCACCACCTGTAAGGATCGGAAAGTGTATCCGTCATGAAATCCTTTCCGTGTTTTAAGAATATTGCAGTTCTTTACAAGATCGTCTTCTATGTTCAAAAAAAGAGTCAGACTAGACCGGAGGGGAGGGGAGGGAAGGGGGGAACACACACACATACACACGATAATGTGTGTCTGGTTTGTGTCACACACATGTGAGAATGAATACATTTTTTAAACTTCACATCTAGCCTCTTGTGGGGGGGGGGGGACCGGATCCAGCACAGTTTAGTACGATCGGTCTCCATCGATTTAAAAAACACTCGATTCAGGGTTTGGACCTGTTCCCTTTTGCCTGGAGTACGCTCGCAGCTTTCCTGACATCCCATAGTTCGGTGCTAGGCTAGTTTGGGCGAACCCATCTGTCAAACCTCCCTTGCACTCATTTGAGCGTGTCAACCCTGTCCCGAGGAGGGCTATATTCACAGGTTAACAGGTAGGATTAAGTGCCTCTTTAAAAGAACTGACTATATTTTTAGGAAAGCCCGTGGATGAACATATAGTTGTAAAAAATCACACGTTTATCAGCCGCTTGGTTTTCACGCAAGTGAGCGGGCAGGGTTTTACACACAGACTCACACTAAAGGAATAACCCATCCTCCATCCCCCGCGCCCAAATCTTTCATCTTCACTAAACCCAAATTGGCTTCCTGTAGTTTATTCAGGGACGTTCTTTGTAAACAACGAGAGCGGATCTGCCGCTCTTGCTCCTTTTTCGCACCACGCTGCTCAGCTCTCTAGTATAACATTCGCCTTGCTTTATTCATTTTGCATGGGTCATTTAATTGTTTGCAATAATTCCCCCCTCCCCCAGCGACTGCGCTGTTATGAAATACTAGAATGGAGTATTTAAGGGCCAGAAACTGGAGTGGAAGAGGGGACGCGCGGGGCCACCGTAGTGGCGATTTATTGGGCCGGAGGTTTTTACCTTTCAAGGACGCGGCGCCTGTTTCAGGGATTCATAAACATTCTTAGACAGCAAGCTGAAAGCCCTGCGAACCTGTTTACAAAAGAAAAAGGCTGGCGTCACGTGACTTGATTCGTATTCTCCCCCCCCCCCCAAAGGAACTGTCCTTTCCCTTTTGTCGATTGATGTGCAATTGACGAATCATTTCCACTCCGAATTTTCTTTTTCTTGGTGAAGGGGCTTAGTTCCCAAAAAAGGGATCCGAATGACCTGAAGGCGGGGGACAGTGAGGGGGGGGGAAGGGTTCCCGATTCACCGAATGAGGGTCTTCTCTAAATCTCCAGGGATCGTGGACCAACCTGGAAAGAGCATTTGGAAGGCCTCGTTTCCCGAACCTGGAAGAACCAATTTTCAAAGCGACCCTTTAAAAAAGAAGATATAAACTGCAGAGTGGCACCCGAGAATCCACCAACGCCCCGGCCCCCCACCCAAGAAATGGCTCCTGAACATCTGGCCATTCCCCCTCCTTTAGTCGCCCCTAAAATTGGGGGGGGGCTTATATTTAAGTTTGCAAAAAGTAAGGGGGAGGGGGGAAATTGAAATCTTTATCCCAAAAGCGAGCGTGGGTACTTAATTAAATTCTAATTAGGACACTATCAATATCCCATTTAGCTGCGTAGCCTTTGTGTGCCTCGGTCCCTTTCAGCGCCGTAAATGGGGGGCCGCCGCCTTATCTCGCCTGCAAAGAGACGCCTTGAGAAGGGCCGCGAAAGATAATTTATAGGTTTTAATTACTCTTCATTCCGCCTGATCAGCTTGGCGTTCATCAGAAGACGGCGAATAAAACCTGGTCAAAAAGCACTGTCACTATTCCCTGGCACGGCGCTTAATCAAAGTAAGCAGGGCCCCTATTACACGCTGCGCGCCTCTCCACGTAATTTCCCAGCTGCTGATAAAGCTGGTTGAATAATGCTGCAGTCCTTCGGAGACACCATTTACAGAAATGACTTTATTGACGGCTTAACGTCGGTAATTCATTTTACCTTTCATGGAGTGGGAGCCCGGATTTGTTACAGTAATGGGATGATAAATGCGCTGGCGGACCCATAGCTTTGATTAGGCACTGGAAGAAACGCGCTCGCTCGCTCGCTCTCACACACACACATAACGCACCGTCCCAAAATGGGACGAAACTGGGCAGGGAGCGAACTGGCAAAAAAAACCCTCAACCCGAAAGAACAAACCCACGATGGGCCAGGCTGCTCTAAGGAAGCCAGGAGGAGGAAGGCTCCGTCGCTTACCTGTGGGACTGGGGCGGGGGGAGGCTTTGGCTGGAGCTCCGGACTGGCCTCTCTCCCGCCCTCCCCCAAAGAAAGGGCAGGCGCGACCGGGAGGCCGAAGAGCCCCTGCTGTATAGGCATCCACCGGGTCTGGGGCTCTTGCGGGTGTCGGGATGAAAGAGGAAGGAGAGAGGAGATTCCCCAGGCAGGAAGGGGGCGAATCTTCTGAACTGGGGGTCGGGGGGGGGAATCCTTCGCCATTCGCTGATAAACAGTTGTTGTAAGCCGTTAAAGGGGGGAAAGAAACCCGAGCCTCGGCGCAGGCACCAAAAGTTTCCTTCTTCGTTTATTGCTCCCCGGTTTGTGGCCTCGTTTGTAAGACCTTTGATGTTTGTCAAAAGAAGACAAAGAAGGGATTATCAATCTTGAATTTATATCGATATTATTATAACATTAACATTATTATTAATCGTGTTGCTGTTACTTTTTAAGGAGCTGGGACGGTGTTTTGGGTTTCCCCCTCTTCCAGACGATGAGCCCTAAACTTTCCCTTCAAAGCTACGCAACATCTTAAGTCCAAATCAAGTAAAGGGAACAGCTCTTCGAAACGTGGTTAGAAATTCAATTGAGCCTGATTTATTCTCTCTTGGTGTTGCGCTGCGTTTCTTTCTTTCCTTTTTATTTTAAGCATAATTCCTCGCGAGGGGTGTGACGTTCAGCTGCCGTCGCAATCCTAGGGTAGGCAAATGTTTAAAGTGGGAGAGGTTTGGGATACTGTTGAGCCGAGAGGTTTTTTAAAAGCGCTACAGGGACAGTGAGGGTAAGTGATGGCCTCGCAGGAAAAAAGGGAAAGTGACGACGAGCTTCCTTTTTCCGGGTGTATTTTGCGTGCTCCTGTGTGTCTGTGTTGTGTGTCTGTGTGTACACGCATGCACTCATACCTGGGATATATATATTTGGAGGAAAGGTCTGGGAGACAGAGATACCCACGTACACACACACACACACACACACACATATATATATACACACACACACACACACATACATGCATATTTTTAAGTATGCAAGCATGCATGCATGTATGTATATGTATATATGTGCGCGTGGGTATCTCTGTCTCCCAGACCTTCCCTCCAAACAAGTGCGGAGCCTTTGGAAGGCTGGCTCCGGCAGCGTCTGTTTGGGAAGTATATATCGCCGTCTTTAATATACACGCCGGTAATCCCATTTCTAGGGCCAGATCAGATCTCATTGGGGCCTTTGGTGAAGGACATAAATGAGCTGTGGCAATACAATAGATTCCATCCTTCCTACAGGGACCGGCTGACCAGCGGTTTTGTTAAAAGTGAATGCGAATAGATTTCTCCTACAAGTGCGGCATTATGATGGTGAGCGGGAAGGTCAGCCATACATTCCCGGGTCCCCCAAGCCTATAGAGCCGGCGAAGTGCGCGGGGGACCCCACGTCACTGCACCTGACAATCCCCTCAATGGACTAATTCAATTAGCGCCGGAGAGATGCCGTCTTCATTCCGAGGCCAGAGAGGGGCCGCCTGGGCGAAGTCGACTTTTAGGGGACCAAGGGGGGGGGGGAAGGGGGGGGGGGGAGAGAGAGAGCCGTCTCCTTGCAGGACTGCAAGGCCCAGATCGACCTAGCTGGGGAGTGGGGGGTTATAGAGGGATGCCAGCCCCCCCTGCTCACCCACGCCGGAGAGCTCCCCAGCCCTGGGGTCTTCCTAGGCCACTGCCCAGCCAGCGGCTGAACTGGCATCTGACCACCCTCCCGCCCAGTCCCCCACCGCAGACGATATGACTCAAGAGTAAGCCCTTCCCCTCTCCCCCCCCCCTTTAAAAGGAGCAGGACCCGTCAAGAACATTGGACGATCCCCCCGGGCGCGAGGGGGTGGAGGTCTCCTCCGAAAGTGAACTGGCATCTGACCCCCCTCCCGCCCAGTCCCCCACCGCAGACGATATGACTCAAGAGTAAGCCCTTCCCCTCTCCCCCCCCCCTTTAAAAGGAGCAGGACCCGTCAAGAACATTGGACGATCCCCACGGGCGCGAGGGGGTAGAGGTCTCCTCCGAAAATGAAGCGTCTCGACCGAAGGAGACGCAGGGTGGTATCCTGAAGGGCAGAGCCGGCGTCGGCGCAGTTGCGAAAGCCTCGGCGCCTGCTTCTTCCCCCACCCCCCGGGAGCGGGATTTCCACCAGATCGGCTCCTTCCGAGGGGGAGAAAGTCCCCTCCTCTCCTCTCCTCTCCCCTCCCC